CGCCTGAAAAAGTGTTTGCGGTTGGTGGGGATTGAATAAAAACCTGTCGGAATTATTGTTCGTTCGATTCCGCATCCATCGATATATTATACTTTTCTGAGAGACTTAGGGAACACGAGTTATAGCGATTTGAAAATTCGGCAACACGCCCTATACCCCGATATTGACGCTCGTTTAGGTACGTTTCGCAACTCCGTGTTAAAGCAAAACGCCTAGAACAAACAAAATTCGAAAAGTCAGTTCATGTTTTGCACTTTTTTGAAACTTTCACATGATTTTTAGGAATTCAAGTAGCGGCGGTGTTGCCGGTTTTCAATGAAAACCACCGCTGCCATCACAATTTAAAGTAGTACTCATTTAATCTTATCCAGCTACATTTGCTAACCTAAACTGACCATTTGCGCCATGGTGTTGACAACATTGCCTAATTTCCGTCGGAATTCGCGTAGAGGCGGGGTTGCCAGTTTTCATGGAAACCGCCACCGCAATCACAAAAAAAAATGTATTACTTATTTAATCACGTTCAGCCTTATTCTGTAGTTGGAATTGTTTATTTATCGGATCGATGGTTTCTTCTATCCCTCTGCAACGGCAGTGGTGACCGACAGTACCGAGATATCGATATTGTATAGAGATCAAGAGCAATGGATCTAGGTCCCTCGCCAAAACTACTCATCGGACCGCTTGAGTGATTCGGTAGCTTTAAACTTCGATATCTCGTTACTGTCGGTCCCCACTGCCGTTGCAGAGGGATAGAAGAAACCATCGATCCGATAAATAAACAATTCCAACTACAGAATAAGGCTGAACGTGATTAAATAAGTAATACATTTTTTTTTGTGATTGCGGTGGCGGTTTCCATGAAAACTGGCAACCCCGCCTCTACGCGAATTCCGACGGAAATTAGGCAATGTTGTCAACACCATGGCGCAAATGGTCAGTTTAGGTTAGCAAATGTAGCTGGATAAGATTAAATGAGTACTACTTTAAATTGTGATGGCAGCGGTGGTTTTCATTGAAAACCGGCAACACCGCCGCTACTTGAATTCCTAAAAATCATGTGAAAGTTTCAAAAAAGCGCAAAACATGAACTGACTTTTCGAATTTTGTTTGTTCTAGGCGTTTTGCTTTAACACGGAGTTGCGAAACGTACCTAAACGAGCGTCAATATCGGGGTATAGGGCGTTTTGCCGAATTTTCAAATCGCTATAACTCGTGTTCCCTAAGTCTCTCAGAAAAGTATAATATATCGATGGATGCGGAATCGAACGAACAATAATTCTGACAGGTTTTTATTCAATCCCCACCAACCGCAAACACTTTTTCAGGCGGTAACGTGATTTTAAATAATTACGAAAATTAAAAAAATGGCCAAAACGTGGCAACAATGGAGTCAAATTAAAATTTCTTTGGCATTGGTCGATAGAACGTAATTTTTTGCATCTTTTGGTGTAAATACGAGCTCTGTAACTGCATTTCTGCGAAAGTTATGGGTGTTTGAAGGTTACGACTTTAAAAAATGGCAACGCTGATTCCCTGGGGTTCCTGCAAAAACGGAGCTAGGGATAAGCCTCTCTCAACTAGTACTATCAGCTCACAAAGTTTCGTACATTCCGGGCTGGGTACATTTTTCGCCTATATGAATAACCCTCTTTTGCAGAAATTGAACTTAAAGTTTATCATTTACATTGAGTCTTATGCAGGAGCCAAACTTTAAACCTCTTTTTCTCGGTTCGATCACGATGTGGCTTGGTTCCTTTCTGTTTAACTCCGTCCAAATGTTAAGGCTTCCTTGACCAATGCAAGTCCTATGGCTGAAGGAGGCCTTAATGTCCAAGGAAAGATTCTGAATTCGATGCTAAGTCCTTTGCAAAATCTCGCACGCGTCACACCTCCATGCCGTTGCAATGCCATTGCAAAAGTAATGAATGCACCGCTCTACTGCTCGCTCCCCTCCGAATGAATATCCCTTTTGGTTGTTTTCGTTCTCGTTTTCTCTCTCTCTCCGTTGTTTCATTGTTGTTCTCTCCATTGTTCTTCTTTTATTCTTTCATCGTTGTTCTCTTTGTTCTTAATCTCTGTTGTTCCATCGTTGTTCTCGTCGTTGTTGCTCTCTGTTGTTTCATCGTTGTTCTCTGCAATGCAAGTCCTCGATTTTTTACAAGGTCAGCGGAAATGCACTTATTAAAAATTGCAGGATGTAATGGATTGCGTCTCCACAAATTTTTAATTTTTTGGAAAAAAAATAGAAAAACCTTTTTAATTTTTTTATTTGTATAATTGTTTTCGGATTGAGTTGTCTCAGAGCGTTTGAGTGCTTTGTATGATCGATGTATATGTATATGAATCTTGAAGATCAGTCAGAAAGTCTTAAGTTAATAAAATGACCAGGAGTTCGATTGAGTTCAATTAGGACGTTAAACGTGACTTACAAAAATTCTGGTCGCCCCCTCACCGTTTTTATTTTCCATATGTCTTATCTGGCTTTACCCTCGGCGCGGCATCGTACACAATCATGCGCTAACTGCAGCCCCAGGCCCGCCCTCTTTCCTCAGCCTAACTGAGTTTCTTCAATCAAGCGACGCTGACGTCATTGAACGTTGCCTTGACTTTTTTTCATTAAGTAACTTTAGGATGCCTTCAAGAATATAAATTGGGAAAATTCAAAGCAACTTACAAGAATATGATACCCAAATGCCCCGCATAAAATACAGAACCGTCAAAGACTGTTTATTTTGGTTGAAGACCAAAACATGAAAATGAAAATTATAGTACTTTATGCAATGGGCCTGTTGCAAACTTTTGCTAGAGCAAAACTAAGAGTTGTTTCTTATAGATAATGCCTCAAAAATCACGATGAGCGCATCGGCAAACTCTGAAATGCACTCATAACTTTACAATCTGCGTAAGAAATTTGCGGTTTTTTGAGCTTCCCGCTTCAAAAACGATACTACGGCACAGGTGAACATTTTGTAAGAGGAGTCGTTCCATCGTCGGCAATAATCATCATAGCCGACGCCAATCCGCCAAAACACGTTTGATGGGACGAGATAACACCTGAACTGGATTAGACCAGATAACAATCGGTGTGTTAACGTTCATATTTTCCACGCCCGAATTGATTGACCTTGAACTCTCCTTGAATTACGCGCGGAACTGCGTGCAAGCGTCGGCCATAATGAATATCGCCGACGATGGAGCGACTCCTTTAACAAAATGCTCACCTATGCCGTAGTATCGTTTTTGAAGCGGGAAGCTTAAAAAAACGCAAATTTCTTACGCAGATTGTGAAGTCATGAGTGCATTTCAGACTTTGCCGATGCGCTCATCGTGATTTTTGAGGCATTATCTACAAGAAACAACTCTTTTTTTTGGTCTAGCAAAAGTTTGCAACAGGCCCATCACGATTCTTTGTTTGTAGCTCATCTTGGGGACAAAAGAACGTGCCATCAATATTTTTGTGCCGACAGTTGCTTTTATGTGCGAGCTAGCCCAGTAATGGCAACGCAAAATGCAAGTAGTTGGATTCAGGTTAAAACCGTCCAACTACAAAATGAAAAATAATGGGTCATAGACGCAAACTTATTCATAGCATTTAATTCTTAAGCTGCGCGTGTGTCAATATATGTATCTTCCAATCGTGTACCTTCCATTTGGGTCCTTCCTGGGGACATTACCTAACCTATTCAGGAATCGAAATTGTTTTTGTTAATAGAAAATTTCTTCACGAAACACGATTCGAGATCATGTAAAAATACCGGTATTTTTCCCTCTTTTTCTGTTTTTGGTGAATATAATAATTGATCATCAAACCTTTCTCATCTCTGTCGCATGGTGGCGTCTCCAGCAAGTTGGCAACCCTGCTTGACTGTTCATACTCCATTTAGATCTATTTAATGTATCGATTCTAGGTGAGACATGCTGCCTCACCGAGAATCGATTGTTTTACATACATTATACGGAGGAAAATCTGTGTTGTCAACTTTCAAGAATCGACACTAACTGGGGAAAAAAAACACATTGAATCTAGAGTGCGGACTCTTGAAAACATTGACTAGAAAAAGGACTATTGATTCAATCAGATTTAAGCTTAAATCAAAAGGAAATCCGCTCAAATTAAGAGGCTTGGGTCTTGATTTAAGCTTGAATCTGATTGAATCAAGAGTATTTTTTCTTGTTGATGTTTTTAAGAGTCTGGACTCTAGATCCAATGTGGTTTTTTTCCAGTGTTGTCTAAAAATCACGTTTTTGCCGGGGTTTCTAACAGTTAATCGCTCTGCTGTAAATAAAGCGGGAAAATCAAGACCAACTTTTTACTTCATTCAAAAGAAATTGTTCTGTATTAGTATTCCCCAAAATTTAAATTTTCTCAACCAGCTAGAAAATGAGGAGAATCCCTGGAAATGAAAAATCTCAACGATATTCCATTCGTCGGAAATCTAATATGTTTTCTATGGTTCTTTACGCCTAAAATATATGCCAGGAAGGTGATTTTCCTGAGAATCTAAACCACGACTCCCTACCGGCAGCCCATATCTGCTTTGTCATGGACTTTTGACTCAAAGGAATTCAGAAGAACAGGGACAAGCTTGCGGACTTCTCTTCTAAGTTTGGGTGAAATAAAACGACAACGTGTGAAGTTCTCTCGCTATTTGAAAACAAAAATAAATATGATAAGCGTATTCTGTGGGTAAAAAAAAAACAAGAGAATAAAATCATACTGGACGCACGGATTCGACTCTTTTATTACAACATTCAATTTTATACTTATACGTCGCACTGGTATGTGGCAAGCACTTTTCGTTACGTAAAGACCGACTTACGTTGCGGGACCAATGTGAAGATTATGCGACGAGTAAATTACAATACTCCTCTAGCGATTCAAAAGACCCTGATACTTTCGTTTGTATTTTTTTTCTGTGTACTTCTTTGCAACATCTTACGTAAGTACGTTTGCTATCTTAATCATGTTTTTTGATCTAGATTTTCTTTTGTTCCAGGTTTTGGTTTTGTAACGTTCCAGTGTGAAGATGTGGTCGATAAAGTCTGCGAAATTCACTTTCACGAAATTAATAATAAAATGGTAAGTGATTCGCCGTGCTCTTCTGGTTTGGCTTTAGTCTCGTAATCAAAATGCACCTTTCTTACCTCAATAATTTCCCTTTGCTCTCACCAGTGTCAAGCGCTTTGGCTCGGAAAAATATGGTTGAAAGAAAAAGTCTCAGAAAAATGACGTCATAGTCGATCCCAACAAGGCACTGTCCAGATTGAGAGATCAGCCGAGTTTCTTGACGACTGGATTATTAATACAGAAATAAAAGATGGGAAAAGCGAAGAGCATCAACCTTTTCTACAAGACATTGTAGTTGTTTGAAATATTCTCAAGTTAACCGTACACTTCTATTGATTCAGTATTTATTTTTTCCCCCCAACCATTTCTTTAAAGAGGCGATGCGGTTCTCGTCACCCCTTAGATGTCTAACAGTAAGCCGGGTCAAACTGACCCGAAGCTTGCAGAAAACACTTGCCCCGCGGATTGGGGCGGGCACACAGTGGATCGGGTCAATTAGAGAGGTCGGACATGAAATTTTTGACTAAAACTGCAAATTTTGATGTTTATTTCGTCACATTTTAAATTTCTACGGGTGCTTATTGAGCATGAGCACGGGCTTATTTTGCGGTACTTATAGTTCTTATTGAGGTTACGAGAAAATCAATGAAACCACTTTAAAAATCTCAAAGTTACAAGCGTTTAAAGTTTCCAAATCTTGTCCGACCTCTCCTATTGACTCAATCCACTGTGCGGCATATTCATGTAGGGCTACAAATAAATGTTAAAAAAAGAATTGGGCCTCAAATTAATGAAAAATAGAAGGAAACAAATCAAATTGGGTCTAAGTGACCTGAGTATCTCTTTCGCGGGGAAGTTATGAGGCCGGTACACACAAGCTTTAGATACAGGTCCACCCGGTTCTTATTTTAGGATGTATAAATACATCCGAAAATACGAATTTGACATCAAATTTTAAAAAAAGAAAAAATCGAATGTCAACACACCCGAAAGTAGGAAAGACGTAATCGGGCCTCGTTTTTCAACTTTTTTTCTGAATCGAAGCGATACCTCATCGGCAGCATAGAGCAGAGCATTGCATGTTCACGCAGTCACGCTTGGCGCTATCGCGCCTTCAATTTTACAGATACCACACGGACATCCATCAAGCACGAATAGTTGTATCCCTGCGCCGTCATCAACGCGCGTCCGCGTCCTGTCCCTTGCTCTATTTTAGTGTTTGTAATAGTGTTGAGTCTCTTGTAAAATTTTGCCCAGGGTTAGTTGATTAGTTCGAGAATCCCTGACTCTTGAAGGAATATTAATCCGAAACATCTGGATGGAAAACCAAACGCGGTTAACGGAAACTCATAAATTTCAAAGTTAAAGGACGAAAATTATGCTCGTAATAATTTGATTCAATGCAGGAAAGCATTGCGAATCCATAATTGATATAATCTCGATTAGCCGTTAGTTAAGATGTGAAAGTGGAAATGATAAATGGAATCGGTGCAGTCTCCGCATGCACAGTATTTTAATTAGAATCACATTAACAGCAAATTACATGTGTACACTTATTAGCACTATTAATTTCGTTCCTCTTCCTATCTCTCTCTCGGTATCCTGCCGTCGCCACTTAACCCGGAATGGGCTGTGGCACTGCCTGCTTTATAACCGAGTTACGGTCTGTATCTTCCATCCCTCTTTTTCGTTATCATCCTGTACCCTTCTAATAACACAGCTTGCATATTTGCTGGGGAACAAGTTTGCTTCAACGATCCCTCGCCACCTATTTCTACTCAATTTTACGAATATCTCTGGTTTTTTCGGAAAAGTTTGTCTCTATTACTGCCTTGCTACGGAAAAACGCCGTATGAACCTTCAGGCGTTGCCAAATTTCCTTTGATAAAACAAGAATTTTCTGGTAAACTGATGAATATTTTCCTTCCTTCCAATTAATTTTTTAAATAATTTTGTTCGCAATTTCACCTGTAGTCCGTGAAAATTTCAAAGAAAAATATTCATAACTTTTCTCAAAAATAAACATTTAATCGAAGAAAATCTGGCAACTCTCGAATACTCATACGGCGTTCTTCCTTAGCGCGGCAGATTTAAGTTCTAGTCGCCCTTAGTGTTTTTTTTTTACCCTATTCCGGCGCGCGGTACTTCATAGTCTGATTTTTTTTGAGATACATCATCCAGGGACTTTTCAAATTGTATACATTTAAGTGTTACATCTTGGGAGCTGAAAGTAAGAAGTACTGCTATCGAGAGCAGATAAATTATTATCTTTGAATTTCTATTTTTGAGCTATCGTTGACACCATGCAACGTTACCATAAAAATTTCTGTATGAGTCGATGACGTTTCACCGCAAAGTCATATTCACCAAAAAGTGGAGCAGTTTGGAAAGGAGAACCATATTTCCCCAAAGGCGTCCGAGGTTGTACTTTTTGTGTAATCACGGCGACACTGTAAAGGATCAATACAGGTCCTGGAGGCTTAAACAACTTTGCTACTTTATTTTCCAACAAGCTGTAAGAAATGTGCTCAACTGTGGAAACCCTGTTTTGAGTTTGCAGGGAAGAATATCAAAATGCGATCATTGGACCGGAAAACCCGCTGCGCTATGACCCCCTTTACCTTTGCCCATGGCTCAAAAGTTTAATTTTTTCATTGATGATAGGAAACTCGATACCCTCTTCAAAGATGGCCAAGATTTCTCTATTGTGGCACATTTGGTAGCCAAAAGATGCATTGCATGTTCTCTCTGAAACTTCTTCGATCTCTTAGCACCTTGTATAAAAATACTTTGAATCGGCTTTAATCATACGTAACTCATTTCTTTCATGGAGCGAGCCGACTACGACCTGGAACGAGTGAATATTCCAACATCACTAAAATACGTCACACCTGAGGCACTGCGTGGGCGTAGGTGTCTGTATTACTTATTTAATTTTGTATTTTTCCTTGAAAACGGGGATACAACCAAGTTTTGGCAACTACTGCCCGCATTCGCCAGGAACTTCCTCCACCCCAAACACAGATACACGCGATTGAGGCATGCCCGATGTTCAGCAGCGCGCGATTAGGTTCGGACCCCGATTGCAAGCCTTTGCACCCCCAACTTCAGGAGCTGACGGTTCTTCCAACCCCCTCTTCAATTCGGTTACTTCTATGAAATGCAGTTTTTTAAGAGGTATCGGTCATTATTGTTTTTTCGTATGGATTTTCTCATACTAGCGAGAACCTCAATTGAGGAGAGTTGGATGTGGGTAAAGAAATCAGGCCTGTTGTCAGCGCCAATACCGGTTTCACGCGTTGGGCGCCGGTTTCGCGGTATGGGAAAATCCATACGAAAAAACAATAATGACCGATACCTCTTAAAAAACTGCATTTCATAAAAATGAATGACGGTCATAACAAATCATTTGATTCGTGTCGGTTACTTCTGTTTCGAGCATAGAAGTGGCTCTTCATTTTTAACTGCCGTCGCCGCAAGGTGTATTGTTGTATTTCACCTCTGGAAATTGTACTTAAAATTTTGACGCGGGCTACTCCACGAGGCTCTTTCGTGAACTCCAGTTAGGTGTCTCAGAATAATAGTGGATTAAACGTTGCAGTTTTGATAGACGATAAAATTTTGAAGCAATTCCGATGGAAATAGAACATTTGATGACTGTTGGTTGGCATACAACATTCTTCTTTGATCAAAATGGCGTGCCATCCTTCATAATTTTTTGCCAACATTTCTGCCAAGTGTCTTTTCGAAAATAATGTGAATTTGCGATTTAAGGACCAATGACTCCCGACACACTTTCTCTCATTTGTATGAGAAGATTGATCAATCTATGCTTTCCATTAGCGATACCAACATGAGTTGGGGTTATTGACCGTCGCACCACAACGCCGCCGGGGTGATTCTTTGCAGTCTTTAGCACCAGCGTTGTGAGGATCTAATGCCGCATCAACTCCCTCACTATGCGATTTTAATGTCGATGCGGCAGTACTTTGTTAAAATATAGTAATTTTAGACAGGCAAGGAGCTATGATTTTCCTTCAATTTCGCGTGATACCACATACCCACTCCGGAGTTCGAATAGTTGCTCGCTTCATTTCCGAGTTTAAAGAGTCAGAAAGCCCGTGGCTGGGAAACTCAGCTCAGAATGATTCCGAACTTACTCTCAGGCATGCCATTGAGACCTATTGTAGACAGCTAGATTATTTCCAAACGCTGCATAACTTGAGCCCGTGGAGGTTGCCAGCCCGGAAAGGCCCGCCCATCAACATTATTGTTATTGGTTCCCGCGGTTTTATCGGAAAATATTAATTCGCCTGTCTACCCGCTGTTCTTATCCCTCATGCGCACTTCCACCAGCAATCAGTATTTTCCAAAATTTGGTATGATTTTTTGACTCACAGTTGACATTTTTAGGTAACAAATCAAACAATGGATGAAAAAAGCAACAATATGTGCCACTTGTTCAAAGAGTTTTGTACAAACTAGCGAAGAACCGCAGCAGTCGCAATATCCGTCACCACCGCCCGAGGAGTGGTGGTGACGGATATTGCGCCTGGCGCGGTAAGGGTTTCGGCGGATAAGACACAGTTCTTAGGAAAGAACTTCGCATGAGAACCCGGTTGAGTTCACCGGAGAAATCTCTATCAGAGCACTGGAGAAACGCGACTGAAGAGATGATGTTTTTCGTAGTCAGCCAAGACTCTGCTGTATTTACCTTGGGAACAGGATAAGAACAAGGGGGGGGGAAGAAGGCTAAAATACAACAATAAAAAATCCGAGACGTCTTGACTCAAAACTGAGTCGTTTCCAGTCGGAATAATACAATGAAACGAATGGCGGAAGACATTCGTTGCAGACATCGGACAGATTGCCTAGGAAAGTACTAGATTGGGTTCTTCCTGGGAGGAGACGTAAGGGACGTCCAGCAAAATCGTGGATAGGTGGCATTCTAGATAAAATTACAAGATGCCGTTTACCAGATGACCTCTGGATTGATGGGCAAGAATGGCGATTTTATGTCGCAGAGCGCCCGGGCGCGCTGTAAAATCGACTTGTATGTATACTAAAATAAAAATTTAAAAATATCGATAAAAATAAAAAAAAACCCCAGACCTACCTGTTGGTGGCCGAGATCTGAGAAAAACAAATGAATAAACTGATAAGAGGCACATGGATGCCCCTTAGGACGTTTTACCTTGGAATTGGCCCGACGTGACTGGAAACGGCAGGAGACGGGTTGCCGAAGAAGGTCCTTGATTGGGTTCCTCCTGGGAGAAGACGCAGAGGGCGCCCAATGGAAGGCTGGAGGGAGGAGATTGAAACAGAAATGTTAAGGTGCTCAATGCCCCAAGGGTTGTGGTACGATAGAGAGCAGTGGAGGTTAGGTGTCGTAGAGCGCGAGGGAGTGCTATAAAGCGACCTATACGTATGTATTGGCCGGATGTTAATTCGTGAATGTTTTTCGTTTGATTTCAGGTAGAGTGTAAGAAAGCTCAGCCGAAGGAAGTAATGTTACCAGCCAACTTAGCGAAAACGAGAGCGGCGAGTAGAGGAACGTACGGTGAGTCAGCGACTATAACAAGTGGCTCTAGTAACCAGGCCCAAAGCGGGACTTTCACTCCGGCCCTGCACACTGCCAGCAGTATCCGCTACTCCCCGTACCCGCTCCCGGCCGCAAACTCCTCTGCGGTCACCTCCATTATCCCCAATCCCACCTACATCCAGATCCCGTACAACGTGTCCGCCGGAGCAGTGCACGCTCAACAGTGCAAGCGGGTCTTCGCGGCCGCTGTTAGCGCGGCGGCGGCCGCTTTCCGACCCCCGCACCCCCAGCCGCAGTCCAACTTTCACCACCAACCCTCGCTCACCTATAGCATGAGCGATCTCCTCGGCTTGCAGAGCCTTGACATTCCCACACTTTCAACCATCCACCCTCACGTCTCCACGGCTATAGGACTCTGACCAGTGCTTGCTCACCTTCCCAGACATCCGTAAAATTCTCACCTGCCGACCGATAGTTCAAATTGATAGATAAAGCTATAGACGGAGAGGAAAAAAGGGATGTGGAGGGATCCTATCCTGCCGTGCCATGGATGAACGCCGTATAAACCTTCAGACGTTGCCACGTTTCCTTCGATAAAAACAGAATTTACTGGGGAAATTGGGAATATTTTTTTTCAAAATTTTCAGACAATATTGTACGCAATTTAATCTACAACATCTGAAAATTTTAGGAGAAAATATGCATGAATTTCGTCTAAAATACATGTTTTATCAAGGGAAATTTGACAACTCTCGAAAATTCATACGGCGTTCTTCCTTAAACACGGCAGTATTGGTGGAAGTGGACGTGGAAAAAACGACCTAGTGCTGAGTCCTAGCTATTTAGATCAAATGGAGCCAGCAAATGTGGCAGTAGTGCTGCCTACAACTTTTGAGGCCAGCCCTACAGATTGTAGGCCTCAGCAGCACTGCCGTATCAGCTGGCTCCATTTGATTTAAACAGCTAGAGCTCAGCACTAAGTCTTTTTTCCATGGACGATTCCAATGGTTAGAGGAGGTAGATAATAGGAACCATATTATCTTATCTATATTATTCCATAGGAACCAACCATTTCAACTATTGGGATCGCTCCATAATCCCTATGTTTTCTTTTTCTGTAGCTTTGTTTATCGATTTCAACATTCAGACCGCAGAAAACCGTTAAAATTCCTTTGTTTCGTTACTTTGGCCCTCTAATCGTTATTTCTGTTTTTTATATTTTTAATTTTGAGTATTTGGGGGTGGAGGATGATTGCTATTCGTCAGGTAGCTTTCTGGTGAGGATACTCTTTCATAGATAGTGGGCAAGGTGAATATTAAAGCGCTAAACGATTTTCTCTCTCTCTCTCTCATTTATTTTGTTTAGAAACTTTTCCAAGCATCAAAAAGTTTCAAAATCAACTCCCAACGCACAATAGCATGTTTATGATTACTCTCAATTGAATTCTTTTATGTACTAAGTTAGAGGCTAAGCCCGTAAAGCTCATGTGGCCAGTTTATTTATTTTTATGGAGTCTATTTCATAAAACCCGACATATTGTTTTGGTTTCGGTGTAAATGGAAATTTTAGTTTATGGAATAACATTAATTTACAAGTGTCCCTCGAACGTTTTATCCATTTACATGGATATCGTTTCAATTTTTTCTCTCTGGCTACTTGAGCTCTGTATCTCGTAAATGTATGAATAAAGTTAAATTATTTAAATTTAAAAAAATGGGGACGCTAGGCAGAAAAAAGGAATGCATACGGTGCGTTTCAATGCTGACGAGTTCCTCTATGAATTGGAAAAATGAAATAAAAAGTTAACAACTAGTGCCTATGAGTTGGCATGTGGAAAACGGGGAGGCCTGGCGCACGATGTCATCATGGGTTGGGATCAATAATTGTGGCACGTGAGAATGGAAAAGCAAAACCTAAAATCAAAAGTTTTTTCATATCTAAGTAATATGTTAACAAAAAGGCCCGAAAATAATGAGTGTTAATGAATAAAGTGAATGAGGGAAAAAATATAATTATTCGTAAATAAAATTTTAAAACAGAAGTAAATACCACACTTGAGTTAAAAAAAATACGTCACAGCATTAAGTAATTTTTCCTCGAGATTTCTGAAGATTACAGAAAAATCGTGATATTATTTTCTTGGGCGGTCAATAGCAAGAATTCCTTGTTCTCACATCCAGTAATATTTTTTAAACTTTGTCCGTCATTAAGTACCCTCAAATAACTTTTTTTGAAATACGTTTGTCTTTGCTCCCTTTAACGTTTTACCCCCTTGAAGTTTTATCCTAAGTATCATAACCTTCCCGGAGGTCTGTCATGCTATACGGTGACCGGAAAACAACATTTTGAATACGCAACCTCTCGTAAACTTACTACTATACATAGTTTTACAAAGCACGCTTTTTCTTGGAATCCTCGCTGCCTTCTCTCACTTTTCCTTACACCGCATTAATAAACGCGCTTTATTTGGCCAGTATATTGTTTGTAAAGTTCGTTCAATTTTCTTGGTACATAAAATACATTTTACTCATCTAATCAAGTATACCGTTGTAAATAGCACTTAAAGTTTAAGCCTGCATTGCTCCATATCATTTACGCCTATATCCTTTCGTATCTTGAATCCAAAATATACCGAAATGTGTAAGTCGCGTATCCCGTTACGGTTCGGAATCGACAAAGTTTATCTGTGACCGTTGTTCCACGTCAAAGACATATTGTGTGTGTGTAAATATCGACGGTAGCGTGATCCAGCGAAGCTACCCTATCTGTTAAATATTCTTCGAGTAGAAGTACCTACGCCCAAAGACAATTTATGACGGCTCAATTCACGAGTTATGGCATCTTCGCAACCTGTGAAGTTGAAGGATTCGGAAAGCTAGTCTTCTCAGCGAGACTGAAATTTTTTGTTGAGGTTGTGACATGAATGAACGTTTCCGCTTGCATTCTGCAATGTTTGAACTCTGGTTGTTAGTGAAGTTTTGCTCATTTATGATCTCTCTATGTTTTGCTCTCTCTCTATCTCTACCATCTTGCTTCTTTCAAAACAAAACGTACAAAATGCAGACGATTCCTCTAGTTGAATACTCGGATAATGTCTGCATTCAAGGTTACGAATACCAAAAACAACCGATGGGATTATTCGTCCGTAAGTTTACATCTTATTTTGAGCAACTCGTATCTTTCTGCATTTTTCTTTTCTCGTTTTTGTTTTCAAGACTGAGGTGTAACGTTTTGATTGGTGTACTTAAACTTTGCGGCGAGTTATGGTATTTCATAATTTTTAAATTTTTGTTGTTTTTAACTTTTGTTGTTGAAATTTTCGAGCTTCAGATAATTATAATAAATTACCTAGTCCAATAGAATAGTAGTAGTGGTAAATTAAAAAGTGGGTGATAATACTGTAACTTAAATTGTATGTATTCCTAATATTTTAGTTTCAAATTCCAGCCATGCCAATAACCACTGTCGTGAGTCATCGATGCTAGTTTGGTTTGTTCAGAAAATTCAATCGGTCTTTCAATAGTTTGTTATTATCTCATTTACCATAGTTAGTGTGCATCCTGTTTTACTAGACTTCGTTTAGATTAGGTCGTAATTAATTTTACGTTTTTTATAGACCTTGAACTAAATTTCTTGAGCACAAAGCCGAGGTCATTTAGGGTGGAAAAACTTTGCAACCTACATTTCCGATGAGCATGGAATCCTCGTAAAAGTAACCAATCTTTATTTGCTTGTAAAGTTATACCCCCAACAGCCTCAAAACGGAATCCTGAAAATAAAAAGTTTTGGGTAATTTCTCAGGAAATAAATCAGGTTCAGAACTACGAGACCCACGCGCGGTCCTCATGAGGAAATCCCTCTCCCCCAATTAAATCTAATGACGTATTAATATTTTGCTTATGGTTAGTCACTCTGATCAAAAGCTCTCACGGGCAGTAAAATATCCTTTGTACTTTTTTAAAGATTTTTTTCGTTTTGTATGCGTGAATTGAGGTTTTGCGAGCTCTCGCTGGAAACCGAACCGTTGTGTGGTTTTACCTCTGAAGCTTTGGCACGAAAACGATTTTGAGGAATATAATTTGATGTTTGGAAACGTAACTCTACAAGTAACCAAATGCGAAGCCTTTCTATTGAAAGGATTATTTAAAAAAAGCAAAATTGCCGAATGGTGCAACGCTGAGAGACATGCTTACTTTAGATGAATAGGAATTTTTCACTGAGAAACCAACAGAGCCTCATTTTAAGTGGCAAGTAAGATCCTTGAAGCATTATTTCCAGAATAAACGCATGCAGCCTCAAATTTCCATTGAGATACCTGCATTTCCTCAAGAGATATGATTTTGCCTTTGATAACCTCAGCTCGGAATCACCAATTAGTATACAAATCTAAAAGACGAAATCATCGTTTATCAACGACGAGGAGATCTTGAAACTTAAAACTTGATAAGATTTTATAACTTAGTACCGTAATGAAGCCGAAAATGTCATGCTAATGTAAGAAGGTGGATAGTATGAGCTACGATGAATTACTACAGAACTACCCTTTTCATACGCTTTGATTGACATTTGTTTACAATTTGATCAATTGTGACTAATTATTAAATATTGCATACAAACCTCCTCATAAAAAGTCGCATTGCATTTTTTTAGAATTCCTGGCGGTGTGAAGAATTATTGACGACTCCGCACTCACTAATATCTCCGCTATCACTCAATCGGAGATTTCCTACTTATCATATCAAAGTGAATATTCATGCACTAGCATATGATCTTTGATCTAATTGTGAGTGGTATTCTTCGAGTGAATCGTTATTTTTAAAGCTTTGATTCCGCTTAGTCTTTACATATTCAGCCTTGATTAGTCCATCATTTATACGAGGATTTCATAATCTGAATGGAGTGAATAGGTCGTGTCGAGGGATTCGTACACTAGATGAATACGAAGGGACGCTTTATAGTTGTTTTCACAGGTTAACATTGAGCCGAGCTTGCGAATTGGACTACATTTTGCAATTGG